GGGGAGGCGTCGCCGGGAGGGCGGCGGGCGGCGGGGGCGCGGCGCCGGCCCGGGGCGCTGACCGGGCCTTTCTTCTCTCCCCCGGTGCAGACCTCTCACTGCTCCAGGAGGACCTGCCTGAGGACGCGGACGGACGTGAGTGGCCGGCGGCCCGGGAGCCTAAGCGGGCGGGAGGTCTCTGGACCCCTCCGCGCTGGGAACGCCGGCGTGGTTCGGCTGGGGCGGCCGCGGTCGCGCGGGCCCCGGGGGTGCCGGGCGGCTGTTGGGGAAGTGGAGGCCGATGAGGCAGAGGTCTCATTGGGGACATAGTGTGTTTTTTCCTGAGTGTCTTCCGCATCCTCACCCCGAGGAAGGAGGCGGCCGAGTGCGGAGGTGTTTCCGCAGGGCTCCTGGGCTGCGCGGTGGCTGTGCGGCCGGCCCTCGGGAGGAACCCCGGCCCCAGTATGCACATTACATACCTGTGTCTGACTTCAGTTCTGAGCAGTTTTAGGTACCCCCCCCCAACACACATACTTGATTTATGAATTAAAGGGAAGTTAGAAGGTGTGGCCTTAGCAGGCGACGGTGACTAGGCTTAGAGAGCAGATTTCTTCAAATCTTCAAAACTCATCCACACCCTCTATATGCTAAAACTACAGGTTTAGGGTTGTACCTGGGGAGATACTGAAGTTTCAAAGAGTTGGTTCTTGTGTAAATTAAGAAAAAAACCCTCAACTTTTGGACATTGTCTCCATCGTATTGATAGAAATGAATTGATAGAGGTCCTTCACTTTGTATGTGTTTTTCTAAGCATCAGAAGATGGGGGGGGTGATGACGGAAAAGACAAAGACGAATTAACTAAGTTTATATTGGGAAGAAGTCATAAACTGGAGTTAATGTGAATTTCTACTTATGCTAGTGTTTCCAGATAGTGACTGATCACAAATAAAATAGCTGGATTTGGAATGCATCTTACGAATAGTGTACAAAAATGTAATAAGCGTAGGTTATGGGAAATTTAAGGGGGCAAGAAATATGCAGAGTTAAGTGTCATGGTACAAGTGTCACCTAGTTAAGGGGAAAGCCTGCGCAGTTCCGAGAGTGTGGTTTTAATGCCTGTGCAAGTGATTCAGAGATGCCATAGTTGAAATTGCTCTTCTAAATACTGTGCAGTTAATCTTTAGCATCGTCTAATGTGGTTCCCTTTACCCAAATTAAATTGTTTTGAGCAAAGTAAGGGAGATGTCCTTTGAAAAGAGTGTTTTTGAAACAAATGAATCATATCAGACTTGTATGTTGTTAAGTCAATTTTCGGGAGTATGAGGAATATTGCTTTTGCCTAAGTAGTTCTCTTACAGGGAGCAGTACACCTGTAGTGAAGGATAGCTTTTATGTGACATTTAGTGTTTTTCCTAGGCCACTTGTTGACCCAGTAGTATGCTTAAGATATTAAGGCACCTATTGATTTTAGATCTCTTGCAAGGTCAGAGCTGGAGATGTGGCCCTGATTGTGTTATCTTGAGACAGGAGCTTCTTGTTCTTAGGAAGTATAGGAGTCATTCAGTAAGTATTTATGCCAGATTGTAGCAGGAACATTTCACTTTAAATTGTCTGCCTAAAGGAAGATGTGTGGTAGACTTTCTTCCTTGACTCTGAGCACAGTCTGGAGGGGCAGTGAGTTTGGGGACTGCTGAAGTTGGAATGTAGCTGTGGAAAGGATGGTGGCCACCTGAGCCCTCTAGTGGTTTCAAAGCAGCTCTCAGTGCTGTCAGGAAGGTGCCTTGTAGAAGTCTTGGTAGCACTTTTGGTCAACTTGTACAACTCCCTGTCCCTGTCTTGCCATTTGAAATAGGCATAATATCACTGCATAGTGTCATTCAGAGCTCTACATGAATTAATGTGTGAATTAATGTCAGAACAGTATCTAGTAAGTAGAGATGACTGTATTTACTGTTCTGAGTAAAGCGCCCTTAAGGGGGCTTCAAGGAGAGGGGGAAACTGGTATTGAACATTATGGAGTCTGTACTTAGGAAATGTGGCTAAATGCCTGTGCTTTACCTTCTTAAGAGTTGGTTCTCTATTTGGTTTGAGATAAGACCTTAGCTATTTGAAGGCACAAATAGTTCACTCGCTACTCATTTGATTGAAGACTTTGTTAGAGTAGTTGCCGAATTTTTCTCAGTTGCTAGATTTTTTTAAAAAAATTTTTTTACTGAGTTTTTGGGCATTTCATATAATGGATCTTAATAAAATTTAGATTCCATCCCTCATCTGTGCACCACCTCCCCCATAGCCCCCAGTTGCTAAAATTTTTACAGGTCATACTTTACCCAGAGTATTCAGAGCATCTTTGACCACTTTGATCTCTTGTGAAGGAAGAAAGAATGAGGGGAAAATTTGGCTGTAGTGGCCAAATAGAGAACAGTTAGCATTCACATCCTGGGGCAGCTGGGGATAGCAGAGGGCCAGGGATACAGGACACAGAACTGCCCTTACACCCGAATATATGCTTGGGAGCATGAATTTCTCTTCTGGAGGGCAGCTACAGAATCCTCCCTGCAGCCAGCTAGGTATAAGTTGCCCTTGAGATAGGGAGAAATGATTTTGTGGTCAGGCTCTAGAACCTCAGGTGTTTTCTTATCTGTAATGGGAGAGTAGTTCTATTGTGTAGGTAATTTGCACTTGTGGAGTCCAGGAGAGCACACCGGAGGAGCAAGTCTTAGGTCTTAGGACCTAAGTTTGTAGACTGGTAGAAGGGTTGATCAGAGACTGATTTGGCTGGTACCTTTGGAGAAAAAAATTTCTTCAGTCATACTGAGCGAGAAATGATATGTTGTATTATATATGGAAAGGCCATAAAGATAAAATCACTATTAAGTATTATTAAAATTACTTTTAGAAAAATAATATGGTATGTATATATTTTAAGTTTGAAAGTGGTTGTTTTCAGTAGTCTCATGTAATATGCTTTGAATTTCAAAGTGAAAGCAAACAACTGACTCCATTTGAATAGTGTCTCAGCAGATTTCAGAGTTGAGTAAAAACCCTTTTAATTTTTATGATTATCTTCCTTGAATAATGGAATCAGTTCATAATTATAGCTTTTTTTTTTGTTTTGGGGTTTTTTTTTTTTTTTTTTTTTTTTTTTTTTTTTTTGTCTTTTTGAGACAGGGTCTCCTTGTAGCCCCAGCTGTCCTAGAACTCACTATGTAGACCAGGCTGGCCTTGAACTCACAAAGATCCGCCTGCCTCTGCCTAATAATTGCAGATTTTTTAAGAGAAATAGTTCAAAATTTTATTGTCAACTTACCAAAGGTACAATTTTGATTTATGTTGGAGTTACTGAATTTCTAAAATGGGTGAGATCAGATTTAAAGATACAGTAAAAATTAATGAGCTAATATTTATAAAAATTCATCAAAGGGATTTGATTCAGTTTTAAACTTTTCAAAGTAGTATTCTGAGGAATTATGTTTTAAAAGAATGATGACACTTGATAGCTTACTGAAGCTTTTGTTGCTGGCTCTTCCCAGTAGTGCTTGTGGTGTGTGGTGTGAAGGCTGTGCTATTCTGACATTGGTGAAGAAGTCATTTGATGCTTACAGGGACCAAGTTATGCTCTTGAGCAACAAAACTAAGTTCAGACAGAACTTTAACGTAGGCCTTCTTAAAAATATTGTGCTTTAGTCAGGCGGGGTGGCGCATGTGTTTAATCCCAGCACTCGGGAGGCAGAGGCAGGGGGATCTCTGTGAGTTCACGGCCAGCCTGGTCTACATAGTGAGTTCCAGGACAGCTGGGGCTACAGGGAGACCCTGTCTCAAAAAGACCAAAAAAGAAAAAAAAAAATTGTGCTTCAAGTTTTGTCTCTTAAATTGTGTATAACAGCTCATGTTTCTCTCATCTAGGTCATTTGTTGGACATTGTGCCTAAAATACTTGAAAATTAATCTAGGGTGTTGTATGATTTATTTTAAACAGGGTTAGGGTGGCTCTTGGGTGTAATATAGTAAATTCAGTCTTAATTCCCTCCTGTTTTAACTGTAATAAAGCACAATGTCAAGGAGGTTTTGAAACTAAGTTTTGGAGTGTGCCACCCCCACAGGTTTTTCCTGTGATTGTTTGGGCCTTGAGGGGAGTGTTGCAGTAGCAGAAATAAGGAGTCTTGAGCCAACTGAGTGTGATGATTTATTCTTCTGTCTCCAGTTCCCCCTGCTAATTAAAAAAATAACTAAAATTGAAAAAGAATTCTGTGTGTGTTTGTATGTCTCTGTGCACATGAATGCAGGTGTCCTTAAGAGGCCAGAGGCATTAGATCCCCCCTCCCCCGAGCCCCTCCATTTCCCCTGGAGCTCCTCTGGCTCCTCTAGAAAACCAGTTCTGATAAGGTTCACAGAAGGGGAGGGTGGCAAGAGGTAAAAACTTAGGACTGTGTCTATTAGCAGCCAGGGTATCATTTAAAACCCCCTAGGTGGGTACCCTTTCAAGGAATGATATTTAGATGTTTTATTGAGACATCCTAGAAAAGAAACCTTTAAAATAGTTTTAGTGGTGGGGCAGAAGTGGCTCAGCAGTTAAGAGCATTGGCTGCTCTTGCAGAGGACCAGGGGTTCGATTCCTAACACCCATATAGTGGCTAGCAACCATTGGTACCTCCAGTTCCAGGATATCTGGTGCCCTCTTCTGTCCTCTGAGGGTATTACACTCATACACATAAAAATAATAAAAATATTTTTTAAAATAGTTTTAGTGAGATCTCAAGAAATAGCTCAACCATCAAGAGTTCTCACTGCTGTTGCAGAGGACCCAGGCTCTGTTCCTAGTACCCAGTGCCTGGGACTCTCGTTCCAGGGACTCCAACGCCCTCTGCTGGCTTCCATTGACTCTTGGATACATGGTACAGTTAACTCGCATGCACACAAGCACGTGTGCACATATACAAATAAGTAAATAAACAATAGTTTTAGTGGTGCCCATATGAGGGGTGCCTCACATAGAATTTTTTTTTTAAGTTAAAAGAAGAAAACCCTAGTTCTATGTATAGGATTGTAGCTGCGTACACCCCCCCCCAAAAAAAAAACACAGCAGAATTAAATGTATAGTTTTTGTTTGTTTTGTTTGTTGTGATCTTCCTAGGTCCCCAGTAAGAGCCAGTGCT